GCATACGTATTAGCAATAGCTACTGAAAAGCGCAATTAGCTTAAGAAAGAAAAATAAAAGATACCACTATTTTAAAAGAAGTGGTCTACGATCGTAGACCACGTGACTATTGTAGGGTTAAATCGCCAAGCACGATTTTGATACGTGTCGGGGGCAGCGCTAATATGTACGTTCTAAGCTAAGAGATCCTTGGATGCCTCGTCCTTCTCTTCCATCGGGGCATTGGCACATATGTGCGAGATGTTGAAGGATCTCGCTTTGATGCGGATTGTAGCTAGACGTTCATCTACTACAATGAAAGCCGGTCTGTCTCCCACCACAAATTCAAGACCGACTTGCGCTCCTTTACGTGGAAACTGTAGTAGACATCGCAAGGCTCCACGCTTACCTTCCTCGCCCCGTCCATCGCATTTCCTGGATGGCAGTGACGTCACCCTTTATTTTCCCTAGGACATCAACCAGCCGGGCAAAGGCACCTTCCCGATTAAGGATTCGGATATCCCAGGTACATACCCTCAAATCATAGTCCTTCCTATGTTTGCCGTGATCGCCATCAAAGGAAGGGGGTAACATCCGAGGCATGTGTTTTTTTTTCATTGGGCAGAGTTTTAACGTGGCGGGACACAAACCCAGCGCACGCGAGGTGTTACGCCCTCCCACTTTAGCTCGATTCCAATTTAGTGTTCGGTCGCTACCCAGAGGATTCTTGGATATAAATATCCGGACGTAGGGAGCTGGGATTTGAACCGTAAGCACACGAATCACTTCTGACCACTTCCAGGTGAATGGCAGTCAAAATCATTGCAGTAATGGGAAATGTACAAAACATAGTGCTCAAATATCTAAACTAAACCCTGATTTATTTTTTTTTTATTCATAGCTCTACATACCTGTCTAGTAAACCAAAAAGCCGGACCAGGAGTTACTCAAAATGAAAAATGTAAAAAATAAACTTTTCCGTATACTCTGTAATATTTCTCCGCACTTTTGTAAGGTAAACTAACAATTTATGATCGTTGCTTTGAAGCGAAATATCTTCTATTAAGTTATATACATATGTATGTATAAATATGAGGACGTATTGAACATTTTGAGTATGCAGATTTTTTATCCTGGTATATTCATTTATGCGAAATATATTACTTGGTTTTGTTTTGTCACACCGTGTAATAAATAAGAAATTCATTAAGGACCGTTAACTTATCTATTTTAGAGTATAGTAAAATAATTTGTTAAACTTAACTACAGAAAATTCTGTGCAATTTCTCTGTAGTAAAGTTTAACTAATGATTCAACTATAATTTTAAATGGACATATTAGCAGCCTCTAATATGCTCGTCGGCCGCTGTGGTGTANCCTGGTATATTCATTTATGCGAAATATATTACTTGGTTTTGTTTTGTCACACCGTGTAATAAATAAGAAATTCATTAAGGACCGTTAACTTATCTATTTTAGAGTATAGTAAAATAATTTGTTAAACTTAACTACAGAAAATTCTGTGCAATTTCTCTGTTTTAAAGTTTAACTAATGATTCAACTATAATTTAAAATGGACATATTAGCAGCCTCTAATATGCTCGTCGGCCGCTGTGGTGTAGTGGTAAGCAGTGCGCGCTTTCACTCATCAGCACCTGGGTTCAAGACCTGGTCAAAGCAACATCGCAAAAATAATAGAAAAAGGTTTTTTCTTAACAGCGGTCGTCATTCGGCAGACAACGGCAAACCTCCGAGTGTATTTCTGCCATGAAAAACAGCTTGTCATAAAAATACAATCGACGTTCGGAGTCGGCGTAAAACTGTAGGTCCCTCCGCTTTGTGTGAAAACATCAAGACGCACACCACAAGTCGGAGGAGAAGCTCGGCCAAACACTAACATATATGTAAGCGCCAATCTATTATTATTATTTAATATGCTATATTTGTTATAGAAATTTACGATCGCTATGTATTTTCTGCCATCTGCTGTAATTACTGTACCCCTGCCCCTACCTGGTTACGCCCTTGCCCTTGGACACGATTGAGAGAAATAGAGATTGCGCCCATCGCGGTACCGCTAATCCGCCCTTTTGAATTTGACAGAATCAGCTGTGTGCTTGATGTCATCTTGGAGCAATTGTTGATTGAGAAAAACCAAATAACGATTTAACTGGGTACGGTTTAGTTATTTGCCCAATGATTTCGGACTATTGTGTCCGAATGGGTGACCCGATCCAAAAAATTTTACACATACTGGTAGTCAAGGGTCTACAATTTATTTTGACATAACATAATTTTGTAATTCTCGGTTAGTTACGGAGATAATAAATAATAATAATGATAAATTCGGTCTGAAAAATGCACTTTTTTGTGAATTTCGGAGTGAGTTCTACGCAAATATACTGTGGATGGCGTAGCCGGAGTTATATGCACAACAAGGGCCAAATTAAATTCGCAGTGGGTAGTTAACTCAGGACCGGCAGTTAACTACCAATTTTCAGTACAAATATCTGTAGTTAACTGCCGATTCTGAGTTAACTACGCAATATGAATTCGGCCCTAAATGTTGAATACCTTTGACAATAGAAAGATAATAAATTCGGTCTGAAAAATGCAATTTTTTCTGAATTTCGTGATATATCTGTAGGTAACTGCCGATTCTGAGTTAACTACGCAATGTGAATTTGGCCCTAAATGTTGAATACCTTTGACAATAGAAAGATAATAAATTCGGTCTGAAAAATGCAATTTTTTCTGAATTTCGTGATATATCTGTAGGTAACTGCCGATTCTGAGTTAACTACGCAATGTGAATTTGGCCCTAAATGTTGAATACCTTTGACAATAGAAAGATAATAAATTCGGTCTGAAAAATGCAATTTTTTCTGAATTTCGTGATATATCTGTAGGTAACTGCCGATTCTGAGTTAACTACGCAATGTGAATTTGNGAGTGAGTTCTACGCAAATATACTGTAGATGGCGTAGCCGGAGTTATATGCACAATAAGGGCCAAATTCACAGTGGCTAGTTAACTCAGGATCAGCAGTTAACAACAGATTTTCAGTACAAATATCTGTAGGTAACTGCCGATTCTGAGTTAACTACGCAATGTGAATTTGGCCCTAAATGTTGAATACCTTTGACAATAGAAAGGTGTTATGCACAAAAATACTGATTATCGAATTTACATTTTCGGTGACAAAGTGATAATTTTAGACTATTTTCCAATGGTTCCCCAGGGGTATGTGGAAGGTTTCGAGGGATCAGTTGCGACTTTTTACAAAGTCTAGTGCATTAGATATAAAGACCCACGCCCCCTCCCACTCCGACCAAAAACAGTGGCAAATAACTAAACATTTCCAATTTAATTGTTTGTGCGTTAATATTTCTGCGTAGTTTTACACAATTAACATTAAAAGTCAAAATGAAGTTTGCAGTGGCAAGTTGTAAAAGTGAAAACAAAAGGCAAACGTGCGATATAATTAAGTTTTTTCCGTACATGTCTAAATACATATAACTTCACGCATTTTTCCAACAAAGGGCATGTGCTGAAAATCGTACGTACCTAAAGGGCTACATGCCCAAAATTATTGCTACGTGTTCCTATTTAATTAAACTTTGTGTACTTATTTATTCCTGCCAAATTGGATCACTTAATATTGATATTAACACATTCTTCGGCATTGTTTACATTTTTCGTATGCGTTTCGGCATCTCTCATTCGCAATTGCACCAAGAAGACGTCACGCAAAAATTACACTCAAAAATCATCGCTCATGGGCGCAATCTTATATTCTATCATTCTTGACCCGTGGAATACTGGCGAGAGAATCGACGCTTCTGGTTTCCACCTCGCATGTCTAACATTACGGAGTAACAAAACAGTTAGAATAGTAGGACTAAGGGTCGTCGGTATCCTGGATTAATAGAACGCATTGCGAAGTAGATTTTTATCTGAGTCAGGTCTTGCACGGACATGGCTGTTTTGAGGCATACTACTTTAATTTCAAACATGAGCACGACCCGTGTGCGGCTACTGTGGAAGTGGCGAGAAAGAAGACGTCCGCCACGTATTTGAGTGCCCTCGATTCAATCGACAAATGAACAAACTTATATAAGCCGTTGGAGAGGTGCCGCCAAGGCAGTGCACCTGAAGAGCAGGTGCGGTGTGGATTGGAACCTAGGACGTTCCAACCGCCTAGGCAGTGCGGCTTAGAAACTTGTGCCATTAAACATGAAATCCACCAAATTAAGCGAAGACCAGTTTGAGAAGACGTCCACGTATTCCAGAAAGGCTATATACGTATATATGCGCGCTTGAAACTTGTCTATTCAGTAAGCCTGCTCAATGCAATACCAGCGTTAGTTAATAGGGCTATTCGCGATTCGGTGCATAAGAGCTGACAAATTTATGCAATTGCAGAAATATGCCATGGATTGTGAGCGACCTTTATTAAACTGTCATGGTAAAGCTTTTGCAAAACAATTTTTGTGCATCAGCTTTGGTTTTGTTTATGAATGCAATGCATAGCATTTTTATGCTATGGATTTTAGGTATTGCAAATTTGTCAAGCCATGACAAATGCAAATGCGTGTATTTTGTTTGTGTATTGCAAATAATTTGCAATACAAATTTGCAATGCAATGATGCTAGACCATTTGCACCGGATCGCGAATAGCCCTAATATATTTTTGAAGGTAATTAGAAAATATGTAAAGTATCGACTTTCTCCTGGAAATTTAATTTATAATCTTATAACTAAAGTCTACTATCGCGCCCTGTCCTCAAATGTATAATTATTAAAATTCTTTAACAATTCTTTGTGTGTTTTTTTGGTGTATAATATGTACATAAATGTCAAGTAGATAAGCAAGACAAAAGAAAAATTATTAAACACATTTTATGAAACTATGCCAAAAAATCATTGGAGTATTTCAGATCAAATGGGTTTGCTTCTTTCATAAAGCCCAGTTTAATTTGGATATGAATACACATATTTATTATTCGATATACTGTACCTTTCGCAGTTTTTTGGAAACTGCTTCTTTTATTAGCAATTATGTCCGCCGAGTCAATTTTATGTTTTCCTGAAGTGCAACAATTGCAACACATTATCTGTTGAAAGTAGAGTCGAAATCTAAGAAGAAAATATTAAATATTTATAACGGAATTATGTATAAACTGAACTCGAATCAAGAATTTTTTTCTGGATATGTATGCATGTGTTAAATATAATTCGTGTACGCTGATTTCAGTGGACAAGTCGTTTTTCTGGTTTGGCTCTAGTTTTCGAGTTATTAGCGTTTGAAAATTCCACTAAAAAACTAAAATACACTTATTTTTTGTATGTATTTAAACCTTTTATTCAACATTTAGCTACATAAGAGTTCAACACAAGCAGTGGCGGATACACTTCCCTCCAAAAAATTTGCGCCTTATATAAAGCTTATTTTTTATGATCACACACCTATCCTCAATCAAAAAGAAGTCAAACGAAAATGCCTAATGAAATGGTTTACCGCATCTTATTCCAGCTATTTCATAGTTTAAAAATCCGTTGCGAACGAAATCCTACCTGATAGTTTAGCAGTTTTTTCAACAATTACTTTTTTCGATCTTAAAATATTTTTTCGGACCCAAGTAACAATATCCTTTTTAAGTAACTTTTTCCGTCTTACGTAAATTTTGTATGTACACGTAAGTCTTAGTAGTAAAACAACGGAAAAAGTGAGTTTGAGAAGTAAACACGACGAAAATCGGTCAAAAATGTGTGCCCGTTGTGAAAAAAAATTGTTTCTAGCAATCATCAAATTAGTAATGCCATCAGCGAGAAATATGAGAATCTTATAAAAAAAGCATGTAAATGCAAACTTTGAAGTGTCTGAACA